GGATCTTGCCACTTCCGGGGCTGCAGAAGCGATCCAGCATGATATAGCGCGATGTCGGAATTGCGATCGCTTCCTCTCCCTGGGAATCGTCACGGGTGACGGGGCAATTTGTGATATTTGCTGGCAGTACAGTATCTCCGTAGGTGCCACAGGCAAAGGTGGCGCCGAGGAGAGCGACCTAGCGTACCTCCAGCAGTTGAACTACTGGATCAAGGCCAACCTCTGCCAGGACGATGTCAACCGGTACATGTCAGATGGAGCGCGCGTCTACATGATGGGCAAACGCTCCAAGGCTGGCCAGGAGAAGGATACCTTGAGGAAACATGCGAAGAAGGCAGAGGAAAGGTATCAGAGGTGGCTTGACGCAGGCTCCCCTCCTGCACGCATGTGCAGGATGATGGGCGAGGCTGAGGATCAGCGGCCTCTGTGCCACCCCTTCCGCAATGTCGTACAACGTTTCCTCAATGATCCACGTTTCCGCCGCCAGATGACTGCCGCTCGTGTTGAGACTGGCAAGCAAGCCTGGACCATCGATGACATGCGCGACGCTTGCGACATCTATGATCGCAGCGTTAGGCTTGGCTTCGCTGGTCGCGCGAACTGGTGGTTGAAAGATGGTAGACTCGACAGAGGCACCAGGCAAGAGCGTGGCCTTGTCACAATTGCTTTGCCCCGCGGGGACGGCACTTGTGAGAAGGTGACGCAGCGCAAGCTTGCAAAAATGGCCTCCGTCGAACCTGCCGCGGGATCTGCCAATCCAAGGGGGGTGAGTTCAGGGGATAGAACCGATCCTAACGACCCCAACACACACTCCTCACACACACAGGGCGCCATGGAGCCGCAGCAGCCGCGGCATCCGCCGCCGCCTCGCGCTGCCCATGGCGATGCCGCTGGATCCCGCGTCTCTGGCGCGCAGGCTGACATGCCCGCTGGGCCGCGCGGCGCGGCCGCCGCGCAGCGGCAGAGCGGCGACGCCAGCCGCAGACCGACAACGCCTCCACGTGCCAAGCGGGCGCGTGCGACAGGGGACTACGCGACGCGGTGGCGCCACAACCCAGAGGACAGCCAGTGGGGCCCCAGGTACTAGAGCTACTACGCCAAGTGCTGGATACACATCGCGGACAACAGCGACGAGTTCGTGTACGTCCGCGACCTGCTGCACAACGGGCGGTTCCGCAATTGGACCCCAAGGACGCCTTGGGAGACACTCGCGACGAGCTACGTCGAGAACGATGGCCACTGGGTGTGGGACCAGAGGTTCTACATGAGAGGCAATTCGTAGTTTTGTTGGCCGCGAGGCCCACTGCTCGATTGGCTTGAACTTCATATTTATACAAGTTCGCCTCGGGCAGTGATTACTAATGTAATATTTGGCCACGTCACTACAAAAGATAAGTGGCCACCCACACACAACTTGTGAAACCCAAGGCAGACTCCTAAGGAGCATCGCCGATGGGGAATAACCAGTTGCAGAATTTGTTGATGCAGCTGTTCGTGTTTATCAACACGACTCGACGCCTGGCCAGGCATTTGTTTTGACGATTTAACGTGTTTCTTAACGCGATCGTGTTCCTCAACACGACTATTTTTGCTTACCCTTTACAGTATAATTTGAAATTACATTGCGTTGATAATGATATGACGCCCAGCTTTGGTTCGAACGACGGTGGCAACACCTGACGCGTTCAGGCGCGGCAGCTTCTCACGTTGCTTTAGTTTACTCAGATCCTCTTGCTCCGCCCACCCGTGTCTCATCCTTCCCCGCCCTCGAGTGCCGAAGCGTTTTTGGGGGGCGCACCGTGGGGGCACCAAAGTGTGCTTGGCGAAGAAACAGGGACCCTGGGTGTTCCTTCTTACCCTTACTTGCCTGATCATGACAGCCGTTGTGCTACGCTACTTTCTGCGCACCGCTGTCGTGATCGGGACGCAGCTGAAGCGGCACAGATTTTACGCTCAGCTGCCTTGCAGTGCTGAGGATTTGAGGAGTAAAAGGGTGACAGGTTCTTTTCTCCTTTTCCCGAGTCCTGCCCTTGCGGTCGGGATTCGGGACGGGAGGTGTGAATAGAACCCGTATAGTACCCTCACATATACTCTTTATCCTCATTATCCTGCGCCTGGCCGTTTGCGCTCAGGTATTGGAATAGATCGATCAGACCTTTGATCGTGCAGGAGGAAAAGATATCAATCTTTCCCTCCTTTCCTCTACCAACGGATCAGGGGTTCTGTACCTTTGTACTCCAACCCCGTACACAGGAGACTTCTCGACCTATACTTTCAGCGTCACCCCGGCGTCGAAGTCTCAGACAGGCCCAGGCCAAATTGGGGAAGATTAGCAGCCCTCGTCCTCGCCCCCGGTGGAAGCGCCCCAGGGGTGGACGGCATGCCGTACGAAGCATATCATCCTGGGGCCAGATTCGCAGCGTGCCTCATCGCCCAGGCGTGGCACGCCGCCGACCTCAACCCGGCACTCATCGAGTAGGTGCTAGGGCCCTCAGTTGACCTGCTCGTGTGGATCGGGAAGAAGCCCGGTGCTGAATCCCCCAACGACATGAGACCGCTCGAACTGCCCACTTGCATTCGACAGCTGTATGGAGCCTCCTGGGCAGACCTAACAGGTCCGGCAGTCGAACCGCTCCTCAATCCTAACCAGGCAGCCAAGCGAGGAGGACAGCGCGGCCCCAATATTACGAAGGTGACCCTGCATTCGGGATCCCCCCCCAAGCCCCCATCTGAACCGGGCCTGGCCTGGGCCGCGCTCTTGGGCAGGCACACTGCCACCGTCGAAGCCTTTGCCAACCGCGCCGCCACTGCGCTGGGGAGTTCCCCTGGCACGGCAGTCATCTTCTGCGACCAAAGCAAGGCTTTTGAGAGGATCTCATTACAATGGGTGGGTAGCCTCCTCCGTAGCTGGAAGCTCTCTCCGTGGCTGCTGCAAGCCCTCAACTCTTTGGTTGCCGACCGAAGGGTGCAGACATGCAGGGACAAGTACAAAGGACCCGAACGGCGATTGCTGAGATCGGTTGGAATGGGCGGCACCGCCCCTCCGCTTCTCTGGGGCATGGGGTACGACCCCCTCATCTCAGCGATTACCTCCATCGCAGGCGACGACGACCCCGCCTACGTTGACGATCTCGCTGCGCTACTCAGCACAACGAAGCAGGCTCTACGAGCGGCCATTGCCCTTCCCTGGGCCGCCAAGGCTGCTGGACCCCTGGTAGAGGCCCACCGTTGCAGAGGAATCCGCGCCACAGACTCCCCAGCACTCAGAGCCGCGCTGGAAGAGGCACCCGTCCATTACGAACAAGACGGTGCCGACGTGTTGATCTCCGAGCTTCCCAGCGTGCTCATTCAGTCACTCGTGGAACGCAGCACAGGGCAGGGCCCACCCAACTGGTGCACCCCCTATCAGCGCCCATGCAACTGCACTTTCAAGACAGCCCTCGTCCCTGCTGGAAACCACGAGTGGTGGCGAGCCCTCATGGAGCACGCCCCATCCAGAGGGTCCTCAGTACGGGATCAGTGGCCCTACCTCAGGGCAGTAGTCGTCTCTCGCGCTGCGGAAGGCGATGAGCCCCCCCTTAACGGAGGGCTCACTAAAGGACTGGAAGACGCCCTAGGCAAAGGCACATGGGACCGACCCCTTCCCAAGATGAGAGAGAGAGAGAGAGAGAGAGAGAGAGAGAGAGAAAGAGAAAGAGAAAGAGAAAGAGAAAGAGAGAGAGAGAGAGAGAGAGAGAGAGAGAGAGAGAGCCATGGCCCTGCACCTGGCCAAAATGTCCCCCTCGCGCACGGCAGCCGCCTGGAATGCGCATCTTGTCTCCCTGGCGCCGCGCGCCGCCCACTGCGCCCTCCCCGATGTCGTGCAGGAGCGCGAGTTACGCGGCCAGCTTAGGACTGCGCCTGGTCTGGCCGGGTCCTCCTGGGCCCCCGACTTCGTCCTCGCGGGGGTGGGCATGCGCTTCCAGGTGCAGGGCGCCCCCAGGTGCCCGGCCGCGACTGCCCGCGCGGTCGCTGCCAGAGCACATGCCCTTGACGACTTTTGGAGCCCCGTTCCCGTCAGGAAGCGCGCCAGGAACAGGTGGAACAAACTGCTGAGACGGGCAAACCAAGCAGCTCGGGAGCCTGGGGCCTCCCCACCCAGGCCCAAGATGATCTCCGAAGAACAGCCGCCCGAGACCTGCGGCGCGTTAATCAACAGCCCGAGCTCCTTGAAGGCAAGCGTTTCGGCAGGATCACCGACGCGGCTGCGTGGGCGCAGACGCACAGCCACAACCTCTCCAAATGGCTCCTGGACACCAGCCAAGGGAGGAGATGGCAACCGTCCAACGGGGAAAAATGGCTTCTGAGAACGAGCTCCAAGATGGCCAGACGGGATCCTTTTTCACACTGCCCTCGGCTCGCGCAGCACACCGATCGGAAGGTTTCGCTCGCCGCTGTCGGCGAGAGCCTGGGCCCAAGCAGCCGCGAGAGGCACAGGCCCAAGAAAAAACACCCCCTCAAAAAAGGGAGGGTTGGGATGGGAAACTAGAGCCAATACGTTATGGACATCTATTCTGCACCTGCTATGCATGCTGCCCCACCCCCTCCAGTCTCTCAGGCCCGAGGGGGGGGGGGTTCAAGCGCTCAGGGCCACTAGGCCCCGAGCGCTGCACACGGCCTGCACCTAGAGCTCTCTAAGAAAGCCCGTTAACAAACATGTATTCTGAGAACGAGCTCCAAGATGGCCAGACGGGATCCTTTTTCACACTACCCTCGGCTCGCGCAGCACACCGATCGGAAGGTTTCGCTCGCCGCTGTCGGCGAGAGCCTGGGCCCAAGCAGCCGCGAGAGGCACAGGCCCAAGAAAAAACACCCCTCACCCCGCAACCTCGGGTTCTCACTTAAAGACTGGGACTGGGGGGGTGGGTGCGTCAGCACTGATATATAAAGAGTGAGGAGAAGAGGGAGGAGACAATTTGGCTCAAGGCGGGAGGCCACAGTGCTTGGCACGCCGCCGCGTCTCAGGCTGCCGGGTCCACGGGCTCCATGGCCTGGCCGGCGTCAGCTCCTGCGATGTACGTCAAGCCCCGCGATGCTTCAGATCGCCATGGGCTCTGAGTGGGGATGCTCTCCAGCGTCGAGCTCAGATCATGAAGGGCTCTCCGGCCCGCGTCCTTAATCTTCGCAGGTAACCGTGCGTCATGAACGATAAGAGAATGTAGCTTCGCATACCTGGCCATCGACTTGGCTTGTGTCCACCGTCCGCGTCTCTGAACTTCTTGAATTGAGCGTCTCTTGTGCAAGATATCGTAGCTCGGTCCGCTGTGTCTCAACGTGTGCATCGGTCCGATCCATTCCAGTCCGAACTTGGATTGGATGCCTCTCCAGACTGAAGTTGCTTTGGCAGCTGTGGTATTGAAGACCTTGTCGGTCGGTTTGATCTGCTTGACACGCTCCGCCAGGATGTGTGAGAGAAGACCGCTGTCAATTGCCACTCCTTGCTCTTGACCTGTCTTGACACTCTCACCTCTGTGTCTCCGTCCAAGAAGTCGTGCCACTTTGATCCCACCAGCTGCATGATGAGTGTCGTCACTTGGCAGATCATTAAAATACGTTTTTCCACTCACATGAACGTCTTCACCCTTCAGCTGCAACCAATCCTGTTCTCGAAGATAACAATCGTACGCTACAAGAAATGCTATCCCCTCGTCTATGTGGCCTGATTTGATCGCCTGGGAAGATATGAAATAGATTGCTTCGGCAGAGGCTGGGCCACCTTCCCAGGACTCCTGGAATTTCTCCCAGCTATGCAAAGCACGCAAGGAGATCGGCAACTCAGACTTCCACTCTGGAAACATGTGGACCAGCCCATGGTACAATCGAACTCCTCTTGACACCGAAGCCCTCTCCACGAAGCACATGTGGTCTAACTCCGCCGCAAGGGTGATGTCACGCTCGGCCGCCGTGGAAAAGGGAAGCCTCTTGAGACGCACCTTCACAAGGAAGGGCTCCACCTCCTTGATGTAGCACACGTTAGTGTTGTCCTGAACTGCGTGCACGAGAAGCCGCAGAGGTACTTCCAGCGTGCCAGAGCCCAGGCTGGTTCTCGACACTGGGGGCTCCCGAGCGGCGTTCTCGAAGGCGAGGGGGCCTTTCTTGTTCTGAGGAACGTGAGCTCGTTGCTTGCCTTTCTTTTTGGCCGTCTTTTTGACTGTCACTGCTGCTTCTAGAGCTCCGGCGAACATTCCCACGTCATCAGCGGCCTGCCCATCTTCACTGTCGAAGGTGTGGTCGCCGTCAGCCTGGAAGCTCTCGTCCTGGTCGGTCGGCTCCGTGTCTGCAGTTGCCGTGGCTGTGATCTCTGGAGCCGAGGCTAGAATCAGGATCGTCGTCATAAATGCCAGGCCAGGTCGTAGTCGTCGTGCATGCCCCTGATCTCCAGCATGTCCCCGAAGAGCCTCTCGAACTCGAAGTCGCTGTCCATCACGCTCTTCTTCTGCTCGGACTTGGTCTTGGTGATCTCGGCGCTGCCTATCTCCTCGCCTCTCGAAGGGCCGTCGGCCGGGTTCATGTCTGTGGGTATCCACCTCAGCGTCAATCGTATACCGGTGGCCAGCGTGATCGCACCGATCTTCTTCAGCTGCGTCATCAAAGGTCGCGAAGAGCTCCGCATCTTTCTGACTGCACCCACCGTCACCATAGAGTCGCACAGGACCAAGACTCGGCTGAACCAGTTCTTTGATGAGCGACACAGGTGACGAGATACCGACGCGACCGTCCTCATTTCCTGCACATTGATATGATCGTGATACGCCCATACCCCTTTCCACGCTAGATGCCATCGGGATACTTTGGCCCAGTGACTCATGACTGCGACTGGCTTCGGCGATGCGCCTCGGAGTTCTCGCATGCGCCAGTCGTGCAGCTTCAGCTCGTTGTTGGACACGGCCTTGGCCACACAGGAGGCATAGGCCTTGCACAGGCGTGGCGGGTAGACTGCTGCCAGGCGCGTCCAGAGACGCCCTTGAGAGTCGCGTCCCCGCAGCTCCTGATGATCGTGATCCTGAGAGCACTTGCATTCGAGCTCCTCCAGCGCCTGCACGTTGGTCACTATTCGAGTTGGCTTCTTCCATCGGGCTCCGAAGGCACAGTACACCATCTCCACTACGCGAACTCCATCCATCGTCAGCAACTTCGCCATGTCGGGGAGGTCCCAGATCATCGAGGTCCTGGGGTTCTCCAGCGAAAAACCTGTCCCCGATGCCAGGCACGCGTAGCAAATTGAGATCGCTGCCTGGGCCAGAGCGTTGCCTTCCCGTACTCTCTGCACCTGCTGAGGGGAAAGACCTGGGAGACCACGAATCCAACGGCCTGGAGCTCGCAAAGGGGGTCGACGTGCCCGCGAGAACGTGGAGCATGGAGGGGCCAAGTGGACCATGAAGAAGAGGGGGCGAAGAACGGCGCGACAGACGAGCTCGACGAAGGACGAGTCCAGCAGGTCGTGGCGCACCTCCCGTGCGTTGTCCACGAACAGGGTCTGGCACTGCAGTTCCTCGCGGATCGCCTGCCCGAAGCCGCCGTACCCTGAGAAAATGTCGGCCATGAACTTCATCGGAGGGACCTCGCCATCGGACACCACGGGGGGGATGCCTCGTCTGGCTCGCTCGAGGTTCTCGCCACTGAGCAGCTCCTCCTCCTCCTCGTCCCTGGCCATGTCTCGAAGATGGTCGGCTCTCCACTGTCGGTTGACTTCGGCTCGGACTTCTTCCCGGCTCGCTCCGTCTCGACTACCCCCAGGCCTTCTTCGCTCGCATCCGTAGCAAAGACACTGGAGCTCCACTTCGACTCCAAGTGGGTATACATCAGGGGGGCCAGGTGGTAAAGCATGTACAGCTCGTTTGTCACGCTCTCCCACAGGATGTGAACCTGATCGTCGTCGCCGTACTTCGTCACGAACTTGTAGCAAGCATCCAGCATGCAGAAGGCGGCCCGACAGCACATCGCCAACCACACCCACGACCCAATTATCCTTGATAGCTCGGTTGGCGTCGCTCGACCTCGGTCCAAAAGGGCCTTGGTCGCACCAATGACATTCTTGACCTTCTCCTGAGCTGCCATCAAGCGATGAGGGCGCTGAGTGATCGTCACGCCCAGAGAGAGGGGCATCGCTGCCCCGACTCCGTCTTTGTGCATGTCGAGGCCCACCTCCTTGAGCTTCTTCCCAGCGTGTTCGCGGACTGCCTCCGCCACCCCGCTCATCTCGTCCTGCTGCAAGGTCATCGAGGCGAAGTCGTCCATGAACACCCAGTAGATGAAGGCCGTCTCGGAGAAGCTGGGGGGGACGCGCCCGTGGACCAGCTGAGCTCCCCGCGGGAAGCCAGGTAGATCGCACAGAAGGTCCTCCAGAGCACCATGACAGATCGCTGGTGACCAGCTGAAGCCCATCAGCATCACCACCAGGCACAGGTAGCGGGCCCCCTTCGGGACCGCCGGCACCCCTTTGCCCTGGCGCTTGAGCTCCTTCAAAAGCTGGGGGATCGTCACGCCTCCGAACACCATGTACGGCCACAGCTCGCTGCAGCTCTTGCATCTGTGAAAGTAGTCTGGCACGTCTCCCCACGTTGACTGCAAGACCCTGCCGTCTGTGATCTCGTCGGACAGGTCCAGCTCCGCCATCGCCATCGGAGACCCAAGAGAAAGGTGAGGTGGCTTCTGAAAGCGCTTGTTCACCTGCCTCAGATCCCAGACGGGCCGGAGAATGAACTGGCCTGCCTCGTTGACTTTCTTCATGACGAAGAAGACCGAGACCTCCGCCCTGCAGATGTCCGTGAAACCGAGCATGCCTGACTCCCATAGTCTCAGCGCAAACTGGAGGCGAGCTGACCTGCTCCTCAAACTGGGGTCCATGTAGGCTCTCGTCTTCTCGATGTCGGCCTCGTCGACCTGGCTGGGCGGCAGGCACATCCTCTCGTGGAATCGGTCGAAGTAATATCTCGCTTTTGGTGAAATCATCCTTATGTCGCATGGCTGCGTCCCCGCTGGAGGCAGAGACGCTTCGCCGCTCACGAAGGGCATGACCTTCCCTCGTTGCGGCACGTCGTCGTCGTCCTTGTCTGATACACTGAAGCCCGCGTAGGTCCCAGGCTTGGCATGCAAGGCCAGCCGCTCGAAAGCGGACTCGGCGTCGGAGTCGTACATCTTCTGATCGTGCGCGTCCCGGTGGCACTGCAGCACCCTCTCGGAGATCCTGCGCGGCAGCTCGTGGCTCGTGTCCCACTCCTTGGAGGATCCGAAACTGGAGTCCCGCAGGTCGTGGTATGAGTTCGTCGTCAGCGCGGCTAAGGACCTCAGAGCGGCGTTCGTCCTGACCCTGATCGCTCGCTCCTGGGCGAAGCGAGACCTCGACCGCCCCGAGGGAGACGACAAGGGGGACGGCGCTGGCAGGAGCGGCAGCACCTCCAAGGGGTCGCGCACTCGACCCTCTGATGAGAATTCGACCTCCGCTCTCATCGTGATGAGAAATTAGGAAAATAACGCTGTGCAAGTTGTGGTAGATGTGGGCAGCCTCCAGGACGATGGCTGCCAGGAGAATGCGCTTCGCGAAGCGCCTGAATCGTGAGCACCTCCCAGCTGTCAGTCGTCCTTGCTTGTTGAGTGCTTCTTGTCCTGCAGCTTGTCGAGGGACTTGGCGAGAAGGGCGCGGTGAGCCAAGCGTTCGCGAAGCTCCTTTTCCACGCCGTCGATGAGAAGGCCATCCTGATCCGACTTGGTCGTGTCGAGCTCCTCCAGCAGGGCGTAGTTGACTCGAGACTTCCAGCCCGCCTTGGAGCCGTTGGGCGGCTTCCAGTCCGACCTCTGCTTGACGTTCTCGAAGGCCCTCTCGATGCCGTGGAGGCGTCGCATCGCCAACTCCGTCGTCTTGTAGTTGATCCAGTCGGCTGGCGCCTCCACCATGGATCGGTCGAGCATCATGCTGATGAGGAGGGCCTCTTCCGCCATGTGGTTGCCGTCCAGCTGCTTCGTGCGAATCATCTCCCTGATGCTCGCCACCGCTGAAGCCCCACTGCGGTACAGGCGGGCCACCATTGACGGGGCCACGCGCGTCTTGATGCCCCCTGGGATCGTCCACGCCACGTCGCTGGAGTAGGCCTGCAGCTTCTCCTTGGCGACCTCGCGCATGTCCTTGAAGGAGTCGTCCAGGCCCTTGACCAGCGAGTCGATCTCTGGGTTGGACGTGGAGCTGACCACCCGCTGCTCGGACCCGCCGGCGGTCACGGCCATGCTGTCCTGCTCCACCATCTCCTTGTGGCGGTCCAGCCTCTGAAGGAGGGCCCCCATCATCTGGTCGTAGCTGTCCGCGCCGATCCCAGGCTTCGCTGGGGCTTGAGGTGCTGATGGCGCTGGAGTTGGCTGAGGAGGCTCCGTCGGGCGCGACGCCTGCCTCTCCTCGAGAGCGGAGAGCCTCTCGGCCACCAAACCCAGCTGCCTCAGAACTTCGCCTCCCACCGAGTCCGACTCCTCGGCGTCTGACACCTGAGTGCCTTCGTCCCTGGGAGTCGATGATCCTGACTGGCTGGGAGACGGTGTGGCCGACCACGAGGGCCAGCTCCAGCCAGGAAGCGCGGGAGCTGAGGCACCAGAGGAAGTTGTGGGCGATGGCGCAAGCGAGGGGCGAGATGACCTGCAGCACGACATGATGAAGCCACTCACGAGCATCACGCCCACTGAGAAGTAGAGAGGCTCGAGAGCTCCTGACTCGTGCATCTCGAACACCGTCTCGATCTCCTCCCTGAAATACTCCACCGTGTCCACGGTCTCCTTCAGCGACGAGTAGCTCCACTTCACCCACTCCACCACGTTGAGGTACACGACTGCGCGCCACAGCACGAACGTCGAACCCGCCGCCGTACCTAAGCTCCGACGGGCCCAAGCGTAGCCCGCGATGTTGGAGCCCAGCTTCAGTAGCCACGACACCGCGTGGCGGCGGTGGGACCTGCGTCCTGCGGCGCCTCCACCTCGAGGATGGTGGTCCCTGGTGATCTTGCCTGTCGTCGATGCGGACCCCGTAGCGATGATGCGGTCGGCCGCCTCGATGGCCTTCTGCTTCTCCGTCGCCGAGAGGCCCTGGAAGGTGCCGTGGTTCACGCCCGCGAACTTCGTGGACTTCACCTTCGCGGGCTGCCCGAGGTCGAGGACCTGGAGCCTGCCCGTCGGGTCGATGCAGACCCATCTCTTCTCGCCCAGCGTGGAGCTGAACTTGCTGACCAGGAGCATCGTGAGACCCTGGTTGGAGTCCGCCCTCGGGCGGTAGTAGATCCTGTTCCATCGCTGGAAGGGCATAGGCTGCCCTTCGGGCTCGTCCTCGCAAGGGTCGACGTCCTCGGCGTCGACGCTGGGCTCGTCGAAGGGCGACTCCGGCTCGGGCTCGCCGTCTCCCAGCAGCAGCGGGGAGCCTGACAGCACGCCGCCGAACCCGCCCGAGGCGTAATCCAGCATATCCTCGAAAGCGTCCTCCTGCACAGGGCGGTGCCGAGCACGCACGCGGCGAGCCAGGAAAGGCGCGTCGTGGCTGCAATCCCGCGCGCGCTCAAAGGGAGGCGCGAGAGGGCTGCTGCTCGTTGAAACTAGAGCCAATACGTTATGGACATCTATTCTGCACCTGCTATGCATGCTGCCCCACCCCCTCCAGTCTCTCAGGCCCGAGGGGGGGAGGTTCAAGCGCTCAGGGCCACTAGGCCCCGAGCGCTGCACACGGCCTGCACCTAGAGCTCTCTAAGAAAGCCCGTTAACAAACATGTAAATTGCTACACCACTGCACCTCTTTCACCGAAGCGCACCACGTGATCCGTGTCCTATGCAACGGTTTACCCGGCTCGGCAAGACGGAGGGGTGACGATGAAAGGAGACCACAAAGGTGTTCACGTGGAGCACCAGCCAAGAACGTGTGGATCACCGCCGGGCCCGACGACGAAGGCGCAGCCTGGTGCGCGAGATGCATCGTCCCAGGCCCACATGCATTCGCTCTCTGGCAAGCGCTGCCTCCCGACCTACTCCCACCCCCCCTTCGTGACCAAGCAGAAGCATACGCGCGCTCTCGGGGCCACCTACACCCGCCCAACAGAAGCGGACCATACGGACGATACCCACTCTGTGGGCTCGGCGAGGCGACCACTGAACACGTGTGGCACTGGTGCCCAGCTGCGGCACTAGCCTGGTGCACCGTCAGGGGCCCTGACGACCCACCGACCCTCGCCCAAGCAATCACCAGCAGCGGCGGACATCAACCCTTGCTCGCGAAGTTGTTACATCAAGTTTCCTTCAGGTACTGCGTCAACCTCACAGCCTCCCCCCTGAATGCCGTCGAGGCCGCCAGACTCATTCTGCATGGCATAGTCGTTGCCGACATCGACCAGCGAGGGGACAGCGAGGACGATGGACAATGGGTGTACGACCCCCCCAGGAGCGGCAACCCAGACGAGACATCTGTCTGGTCCGTCATGCGCGACACCTGCAGTACTTGCAACCCGTGCACCACCCCCGAAAGAGCGATCTGCGGAGCCGCTAGGCCCCACATGCAGCGGCATGCCCACAGGGCCGGAGGTGAGATACGCAGGCTCCCGGTAGTCACCAGACACCACAGACTGGGGGATATAATCGTTGTCTTACAAGCGCCTCAGACGCGGGCCGCATGGATGATGGATGCCCCCAGGAAACGGGTGGTTCCCTTGCCCTAGGGCCGACGGCTCTCCCGCTGCCAGCTGGTCCTATGTCTTCTGTCGGGAGTGCGGGTCCCACACCACAGCGCTGATCGCTAACGCTAGCGCTGAACGCTCGCGACGAGGTCACAGTCCGTAGCTCGCCCTTCCCCGACTCCAATTCTACCCAATGGCCCTATGAGGTTACCTTCGATGGTGGCGCCAGGTCCATCGAGGGCGCGGACAAGGTCTCTGGCGCTGGTGCCATCCTGTGGCACCACAACCCCACCACTGGCTCTCCCCGGGTCCTTGCTATCGCCATCGTTGCGCCCCCCGACTGTGACAGCGCTCAGATGGCTGAAGTTGCAGGCTGCCGGGCCGGGCTGGCCCTGCTTCCCCACCTCCAGGGCCCAATTCGGGCAGCCAGGAATGTTGGCGACAACCTCGCCGCGGTTCGATGCGGCGCCGGTGCTGCCAGGTACCGAAGGCTCCACCTTGCACGACAAATGGAGGACGCCCTTGGACAGGCGGAAGGAGCTGGCTGGGTACTCACTTGGCAAGCGGTCAGACGGAGGCTGAACAAGGCTGCGGACAGCCTCGCCACCATCGGAGTTTACTGGGCCGACGCCCTCCGCAAGGAAGGCGTGACCACAGTCACCACCCACATGCATTGGGCGTGCGATGCCCCCGCCAGACCCGCGCATTTTCCCTGCCTAGACTTACTGGAAACTAACCTCTGCGACCCATCGGAAGCGGCCGCGGCCGCGGTCCTTCTGGAAAATCCCCCGCTTCGATCGGATCGCCGATCGATCGATCCCCGCGGCAACTGAGGTCCTTGCTGCCGCGGCTCAAGTCCGTCGTCCGCCCCTCACATTTACCAGTGCTGCGGCTCTTGGCTGCGCCCCCCTTTCTGCAGGATGACGAAGAAGAGCAATGACGGGCCACTGGTCCGGTGGCCTTCCCCCGCAGCCCCCCGCGCTGAAGGCCCGGGCAAGATCGACGGCCTTTGTCACGGCACATTTCCACCACGAATGGTGCTGGTGGTGCGAGGTGTGCCAGAGACACTGCGAAGGCAAGGGGCACCTCCTGGGAGGAAGCCGCGCTAGGGAAGCAGAAAAGCAGACAGGCACCGGCTGGCCTGACCCCAGACTGTATACCGATCAAGGCAACCTCTGGACCAGGACCTTAGGCAAAGACTACGACCAGGTGACCAGGCGCACCATCAACAGGCCTTTATGGCCTGGTTGGACGCTGCCAGACCCAGTTAAGGCGGGCCCACTGCCACACCTGCCAGGGTGGACCTTCCCACAAGATTGGGATTCTGTCCCGGTCAACTTCCCGTGCCGCGACGACCCGTTCGACTTCGCCACCCCCGCCGACGCCGTTCACTCGACAGACCTACGACCGCCCAACCAGCACCGAGCGGGTAGCACGTCCAGAGCTTGGGGGGGCACGGCACCGCCGCCTCCGCCCCCAGCAGGCGCGCCCCCTGCCTCACTCGGGTGGCCGTCCGCCTCACTGCACCCGTGGGAGGGGCGGGGCAATGCATCCAGCAGAGCCTCCTCTCAGGACTCAATGGATCGGGCCAGGCCCGTGCACGAGGGCGACGGTGACTGGCCGGACGATCTCCCCCCTATGAGCAGGCAGGCAATAATGGAGTCATCAGCGGCCGCAGCAGCGGACGCCATCACCCGACTATTCACTGTCCCCACCACCAGCCCTGCAGCCCAGTTTCTTCTCCACACTCCCACGGGCTCAGTTCACTCGGGAGTGAACCTCCCAAAGCATTGGGAACAAGACCTACGACAAAGAGGA